AATTTCCTGACAGTTAGAACAATTACTCAGTGGAACAGAAGTTGCCTCCAGAAGTTTTGAATGCTCCAATACTGGTAGTTTTTAAGAAGAGATTGGACAACCATTTTTCTGAAATGGTATAAGGAGGTCCCTTCCAATTATGTTATTCTATTCTATTCTAAACCAGATCTGCTGTTTAACCTAATACTGCTGTCTTTGGGAGCAGTTTTTCAAAGTCTCGTGTCAGAGGTCTTCTGCCCAACTACTTTAGATTGTTGTAATTGATGATGTTATAATGGGTCAACTTACTTTTCTTTCTCCCTAGTTCTATGTCAATTGCAGCAAGCCTTGTGAGTGAAGACACCAAGACCAAGTTTCTGAATAAAATGGGCCAGTTAACCACTTCAGGCGCCATGCTGGCCAACGTGTTCCAGAGGAAGAAGTAAATTGGGATTAAGAACTAAAGAACATTAACACTGAGAGACCTCATTAAGACTTGTTCCTTGTACTTGAAGTACTCGTCTTTTTATTTTCTGTCTTACGTTCTTGTAGTATAATTTTAATCTACAAAGATATTTGCACTGCTCTTGAATATTGCTACATATCTGTTAATTTGGGGCAAAATGTGGTTGATTATAAAACTAAATTAAGTCTGTATCAGGTCCCTGCCCTGTGTTCTTGTCTTTCCAGCATTTTTATATATATATATATAAATATATGGTGGGGTTTTTTTTAATTTCCTGATGGGTTCTTGGCTGATATCTGTATTATACATGGAACTGTTATGATGGTACTTAAAATAATGTAAATTTGAAGTCACAGTTATAAAGTAATAAAAGTGGAGATTACTTATGTATTTAAGTTATAAGGGGCAATGCAGAGCTTTTTTAATGTTTCTAAAATGAAAGGTAAGAGCCACCAGCACTGATTCCTGGATTGTTTTTGTAAGTTATTGTATATTTGAATTACCGAAGTGAATGGAGGATATAATGTATCACGGAATTCCTTGCACTACTTAGTACTACAATATATTCCAGAACAGACGAATACAACAGATTTTTTTTAAATTGTCTCTCATTACATGTATTGGCATTTTCATTGTGTATAAAACAGCTTAGTATTAACCTTTCTGCAAGGCAGTTTATAGCAAGAAGGGGAGGAAGAATAAATAGTCCAAACTTAAATCATATGTACCTTGATGAAAGCCATACTGATTTCAATGAAGGTTTCTTTCATATGAATGAGTCTAATATTGCCTTCTTAGAATAAACTTTTAAGTGATGCTGCTCTACATCAATGCTTTAAGCCAACATCATTTTCTGCATATAACAATCCTGTGTTTGAAGTTTGTCCTTGGTAAAGTAACATCTACGGTACTTAAAACACCCCTCCAAAAAATAATTGACATAGAACATTCTGGGCACTACATAAGGTAAACATATTTATAGCATACTAGGCAAAAGGATTGGTTTCAACACTAAAGAGATTGGCTAGCATTTTGTTTAACTTGGGTTTTAAATCTTGCAGGGCAAGGAAGAAAGAAAATGTGCCATCCGATGCCACAAGTAGCACGGAAGTGACCGAAAGCAATAATGTATTAAAATTTAAATGCAACGCCATATAATATCTTCTTAATATCCTGATATTTTTTAAAATTGCAACTCTAATCTTCTATCCTTGTAGCATTATTCAGTGGTGAATCAATTTAAGCCCGTCCGTTGTTTCATAACTCTATAAATATCCAATGCAAATTCCGGTCCGCTATGTGGCTTTCACCCTTTCTACATTTTCTCCATACTACATATTTTGTAAATATGCATGCACATAGACATTATTTTCAAAAATAAAAGGAAGACATTACCTAATGCTGTGCCTATTTTAATGAAATTACTACTTTTGTGTTAAATCTGGGGTAGAGACAAACAGACCCGAAACACTTGTAGAATCCTAATATAAGTATCAGTAAATCTGTTATACGTATGGTCAAGCTCAACCCCACTGTTATTTCAAGGCAAAGGAATAGCTTTTCTGTTATTTCTCTTTTCTTAAAGTAAATTGTGATTAACACACTTCAATAATTTATCTTGGAAAGAAATATCACAAATACCCTCAACCCATTGCTAGATTAAAATTCCCACCAGTGTCCAAAACTGTTTTCTGGGTAGAGCTGATAGAAGTTGCATTCCAGATTCTGTGAAAGGTTGCAGGTTGGGACAAGCTTGCCTTATCATATACTTTGGGATTTCTGTGCTGAGAAGTAGAGAAATATTAATTAAAACTTGTCTAAAAGAGGTGCATATGCGTATCATCCGTTTTTTCACTGTACTCGACTGGATTGTATCTGGAGTATTTTTTACATTCCCAATAAAATCTTCATCCGAAGAGAGGACGCGCTTGGAAAAGAATCCGTCTTGCATTGAATGTGCAAATACAGCAAATATAGCCATTTTGAAATCCGATGATGATGAATGATGAATGGGTATTCACCTCACTATCTGCCAGTCGTACTAAACTGTATTGCAAATGCTGTCTTAGTAGACCATCTGATAATGAAATGCTGGGGCATTCCAGAAGAAGTAGAAGTGGCTAACTCTCCTGTTCTTTCTTGAATTAAATAAAACGTTTTGCATACCTGTTTTGGATGTTTATTTAAGGAACTCTAAGTGATTTGGCATTTTCTTTTGGATGGTGTTGACATTTAATATTTGAGTATTTAATGTTCATGTAACACTTTATTTTATTTTTATCCAATACATTCCTTTTCATTTTTCTAAATAATGCAGTCCATTGTATAAATACTTTTTAAAGTATTAAAATTGCTAAAATTTCTCTCTCTCTCTCTCTCTCTCTCTCTCTCTCTCTCTCCCTCCCTCCCTCCCCCTCCCTCCCCCCCCTCTCTCTCTCTCACACACACACACACACACACACCTTTTATGCGTGGGCATTTTATAAGTTGTGATCCAAGAAAATGCAGTATGTAGAGGCCAACTTTACTTACTGTTAGCCAAGCAACTGGAAAATAACCAGATTTTTTTTTAGTCCTTTAGTAGCAAGGTATCTACAGCTTTAGTTTAAAATCAATATCTTAAATTCGCCCTACTACTACTTTACAAGTAGCCACTGCAGCACTATGAAGAACAATCATTACAGTGTATGATTCCACTTAGCTACCCCACTTAAAAATCTTGGCATATGTTCTGCATCGGTTACATCTACCCCATGCAGGATAGAATCAAATCCTGAGGATACTAAGAGATAGATTAACAAAGTGAAGGATCGCAGGTGGGACTGTACCTGGTGCCAGCAAAATCAAAGCACAGAACACAGAATAGTAGTTTAATACATCATCTTCCTAATCCTAGGCTTCAAATGAGTGGTCACACTTCAATTAGATTTAAGTTTTGCTTGTGAGTCCTCATACAATCCAGCATAATCCCACCTAATTAAGATGGGAAAGAGAGAGAAAATTAGATTGTCATTAACATACTGACAATATGTTCCAAATCGCTAGCGGCTTCATAACAGACACTGAAGAAGAGCCATATTCTATACATTTGATAAATTTAAAATAGTTGGGAGTTTATTTTCTACCACTGGCACATAGCTTTGTGGCATATTATTGGAAAGAAGTTTTTTGGGGGGGTTTCACAAGTGATCTTTGAGGAGAGGTCAAGTCAATTATGTATATGGAAAAGAAACTTAATACAGGCTCTTCCCCAAACCAAATTCAGCTGTTGTCCGCCATTCCATGATCCAGGAGAAAACGATTCCAGCATAAATAAGAGCTTCCCTACTGATAATCCTTGTCCTACCACAGGGATCATAATGGCAAATAATGCTGTCCCTATGATGCAAAGGGCACATTAAGGATAGATATTGCTGGGTGTATCTGGATTTGTTTAGTTTTCCTCCCACCAAACAGTAAACAGCTGGCGAGGAAACTTCAATCCTCTCCTCAACATGGGCTAGAAGTAGGACTAATGTGGAAGCAGGTTTTGACATGTAGCTGAAGTGGGCTTAAGACATCCGGTAAAAATTCGTTCTGGTTTTGCACAAGTGTTTTCTGCATAGATGGAGCACCTAATGGTTTTATCAGCTGAAGACACATAGGGAGTTGTGCTGTGAGGCAGAATAAAGAGAGGTTGATCTCTAAAGCTCTAGATCAATGTTTCTCAACCTTAGGGACTTTAAGTCCTGTGGACTTCAACTCCCAGAATCCCCCAGCCAGCACAGCTGGCTGGGGGATTCTGGGAGTTGAAGTCCACAGGACTTAAAAGTCCCTAAGGTTGAGAAACACTGCTCTAGATTGTGCAGAGACAAGTAGCCACAAGATGAGGAAGTTTGAAAGAACTG